TGCATAATAGTTACGCCATATCCACACTATATAAGCTCTCGATTCCGTGGGAGTTAACAATTCAGATTCGAAATAAACTACTACGAAACACGCTTGGACTTAGTTATCAATATAAACAGGGCTATCACTTTTCATCAAATAATTGTAACCATTTTGATACATATTTGATTGTTTCAGTACATTTTTCATAATCACTATTATTTTTTTCTGTTATTTTACAAAATGTACGTATTAAATCTTGTCCATAAAGGTTAATTAAATCGGTACTACCATCTTCAATTATTGTTTTTAATATTTCATCACTAACAATAATTTTTTGATAAAGCTTATTACGAAATGTATCTGTTGTACAAGCATTATCATTATCTGCTGTCGTTATGGCACTTCTACCATTACTATTATTTGTTTCTTCATCCGTAGCTAAAAAAATGGTCATAAAAAAAAATGTGTTATGTTTTTCGGCCTCCACGTTCTGTCGAAAAAGTGGATTTAAAGATTATAGATGGCTGGATAGTTCAAAGCAAGGAGAGAAAAGCGATTTTTGAGCATTGAACTACTTTAGGATTCAAAAAAGAAGCTACTATGCGCCTTTTTCAATAACTCGGGAACGCAAAGAGATATTGAGAAACGATTTTCGTCAGTTTGTAGCCAAGTTCCGAGGATATCGAACTACAGTAGGAAAAATAAATTTTGCTGAATCTTCAGGAGTTTTCCAGACGGGTCTTTGGAAAACCACTTCGCCAATCGAAGACGCTGTAATAAATTTTTAATCGGAGTTAGTCCATTTTGTAGCCCTGGGTCTGCTCTACAAAACTACACATACCGCAGCTTCTTTTATTGTTTCGTTCGAGCGATAGATCTCATACACTGGAAGCCCTAAAACGTACGCTTTTTGGTCATGTAAAGCTGGGAGATGTGTCATTTTAATCAGAAATTTATAGGCTATAATCATGCTACATTAAGAAAAGGTTTTAGTTATTTTTTAGAGTGTGATCAGACCAAAAAGCGTACGTTTTAGGGCTTCCAGTGTATGAGGTCTATCGCTCGAAGAGAACAATAAAAGAAGCTGCGCCTTGCGGTTGTTTTTTTAGCATCACTATAAAAATGTGTAACAGTACTTGTTTTTGTTGCCGCTGTTGATGGTGAGAGGCTTGTTGTTATCAAAGATGTTACAGTCGTAGGATGTTTTTCTTCATGTTCAAGTACCAGAACAATTGTAAGGATAACTATCACTGTAGTAATAGTGCCTAAGGCAATCAACCAAAGTTTACTACTTTTTTTATCATATATTGTCCTTATGATCAACACAATAGTGATATCTTCAGATGGCATTTTTTCGTGTTGTAAAAAGCTGAATCCGAAACATAACGTGTTACTCTATTTATCTATATATCATTGTTATGATGGTTGGTTTTTTCTCGTCTGTACTTTCCCTGACTTTATTATTGAGGCGGAATTATTCACATACCTCTCCAAAGAGGTCTTCACGGTTTTAGGTTTCCTGAAAAACCAGTTTTTGAGAAATACTTTAAGAAAAAGAGCTGGCCAGAAACCAAAATCTGCTGTCTAAATGCATCCGAGTGTGGCCTACATCTTGATATAAAGCTTGAGCCGTAAACATTTTGCCGCACAGAGAAAATCAGGTTATTGGGTCTCACGTTTAAACCAAGAATTCTATTTCGGCGGAGCGGTTTTTAAATCCGTGAAGGGACGGAAAAGATAGCCCGTATTCTGAAGTATAGATTCATATTAAAAGATAGTTTTTAAAGCTGGTTTATATAGGTGAAAAATAATTAATTCTCAACGTTATTTGAATGATCGATTTGTGGTGCCATCTCTTGTGCCCTCTATACCTTGAGAACGAAGCAGTTTTAAATAACGCTATTTAAATGATTATCTAGTTACATATAGACCTGCAACTGGTATGAATAGCATTTAAACCTGTGACATCAACAATCATCGCCTATGGGTAACTGTGTACTTCTCTCAGATAATGGCTCTTAAAGGTATGTAATCATGTATAATTGCTTGCCTTAAGCTTTTTCAAGGAATGTTTTCTCTATCTCACAGATCTGATCAAATACCGTCGGAAGAAAATTTGTTCGAGGGTGCTGCGAGTACTCGAAAAACGGCGCTCACTGAGTGTTGGATCCCCCGGAAAATGAGCCTTCGGATATAAGCATTCGAGGAGTTATTGATTTCGAGCCCTCCGGTTTCAAGTAGGTAGCGACCCTTCGGAAAACAAAATCCCTAGCCGTCGAATAGCGATATTCGGGACTTCCGAGCCTTCGTCCGGATGACAGTTTGGAAGTCCCGAACATCACACCCTTGGGCGACGAGGGCTTTGAAGTCCCGGATATCTCTATTCGACGACTAGGAATTTCTTTTCCGAAGGTTCGCTACGTATCTGAAACCCGGAGGCTCGAAATCAATAACCCCTCGGACGCTTTCCGAAGGCTCATTTTTCACAGGATTGAGCCCTCGACGAAGATCCATCGATTTTCGAGCACTCGAAGTACGCCTGGAACAACTGGGTGGGTATGTTTTAAACAACTGAGAGTCTCCTCATCCCAATTAATGAATTAAATTTAATTCTTTAGGAAATTAAACACGGCTCATGTTACATAAAATATTTAGTTCTACACGAAGGATCGGATCTGTGACTTAAAACGGATATGTATAAAGGGACGATAGGCCTAAAATACGACTGAAATATCAGTTTTTAACTGGTGCATACCTACTTTCAACTACATTCTGAACGTGTTAATTTTAAATTAAAACGTTTAATTCATACAATTTACGTTGAAGTTTCTGAAACACTTTAGCAAAAAAATGTTGAGAAATTTTTCAAAACAGAAAAATCGAAAATCGATATTTTTTTTCAGAAATAGTATGTGATGACTGCAATCCAAAAACAAACAAAAAGCGGGACTGAATGTCCAATTTTCGTTCTATTGCAGTGTTCTCAAGTCTGCTTTGGTGCGGCTCTTATCAGTACCTCTTATCCGTGATGTGAACGTTCTTTATGGATGAGAGCTAAAGCATATACATTAACAGATTATTTTTATATGGGTCAAACTAATCGAATAATGTTATTAACAGTTGATGGGAAAACAATTGAGGGTATTTTGGGTATTGATGGATGTTATAATATAAGAAAATATGCTTTATATGGTTTGGATCATCTCTCCGATCCTGGTGAATGGGTAAACTTCTACCAGGCTGAAGATCCTTTCGATTCTTTCGATTCTGATGAATGGGTAAACTTCCACCAAGATGACAAATTAGTGAATTCCTATGACGAACTGGACGATGCCTATCCCATGTACAATACTTTCGACCCTGGTGACTGTCTGAACTCCCACCATTATGATAAACCTTTCCGTTACGCTAAACGGAATGTTTATGGAAAAGCAGATGTGCTTAAGTCGGACTATAGGGAACAGGAACAAATACACCATTATCGCCAGAACTGCCGGTCTTAAAGCGCTCTCAGTTATTACACTCAAGACAGGTCATTCTATCGAATACTCAATCGCAGTCTCCGACAACAGCAACTTGATATTATGTATCACTTTCGACCGGTCATTATCAATATCATCCATTCTCTTCGTCAATCTCAATCAGCAGAAGAGGACCGTATCTTGGTGACAGTCCACCGTGGTCAATAAATGGCCGTGTTCCAACTTGATAAACTCAAAAAAAGTGTTGGCGAAGTAGCGGCTGTCGCGAGTTTCTTCTTTACATCCTTGAATTGCGTCGTTGTCAAATCTTTGCTGGCAATGGATCCAACAACGATTCACATATGGTCTAGGTCCTTTTTGGGATTCACTTTGACACGGGTCAACCGAGGCGACCGTATGCTCTCATCATGGCAGGGCCGAAGATGAAGTACTTTTCTAACCGGGTACCAAGTTTGTACTCAAGCCCTGTCGAAAACTTCACGACAGTAGCCAACTGCGGATCATCAACTGGTGGCCATCCTCGAAGAACAACAACAACAGCTCAAACTAACTCACGGAGAAACGTTTCTATCTCCGCGGATGGTGGGCCGAACACCGATCGTGGTTGTTCGCTAACTAACCACCTGACGAGACCCTTGAGCAAGGTCGACACCGGTCTCGCCCATTCACATAATTCTCAGATTTTCCGTGACATAAAAAGAATCAAAAGTTTGTGAAAAATTGTAAGGATAACTATCACTGTAGTAATAGTGCCTAAGGCAATCAACCAAAGTTTACTACTTTTTTTATCATATATTGTCCTTATGATCAACAGAATAGTGATATCTTCAGATGGCATTTTTTCGTGTTGTAAAAAACTGAATCCGAAACATAACGTGTTACACTATTTATCTATATATCATTGTTATGATGGTTGGTTTTTTCTCGTCTGTACTTTCCCTGACTTTATTATTGAGGCAGAATTATTCACATACCTCTTATATTATCAGGTGTAGTTGATAAGAAAACAAAATTAGTGCTTTTATCTTTTCTTCATTGTTTAGACTCATTCTACTTTTTCTGTCTTATTACCTGTTGGATTGCGTAACTTTCTTTTAAAATAACGTAAAGTATTCGCCACTCAATAGTTACAATAACAAGTTCGATATTTATTTTGCACTTCAGCTTGAAAGCCAACTATACTTCTGCGGAGACATCCCATCTGATAGACCATGAAAAAATCAATTCTAAATCCGTTGAAATTCTTCAAATCGAAAGACATAATAGTAAAGATTTGTCATGAAACACTGACACCCTTTATAAGCAAATGTCAGTGCTATACGAAGCGCAAACTTTCGAATAATCAAGGATAAATCTTACCTTTCAACTTTCCGCTCAAAATCTGATTTAAAATAAAGGAAAATACTCTCAGTTGTGAGTCTTTTTAATATCAAAAATATACTTTGCACAAGGACGCGTTGGTCGTTAAACCAAAAGTCGAAAGTGACTGACTGCTTTCCTGTACAGAATAACAACCAATCTTAATGTGGAAGACGCATGGCTGACTAAAAAGGCGGAGACGACGCTTTTTCTATTGGAAAAGCCCGTATGGGATTTGGTAGTAGTGTGTATACTTATTCAACCATGGTTGAATATACGTACTCCACCTACTTTCTAACTACCTTTCGAATAAACTCGGTAAAGGCATCGTTTCCTTTACATCTGGCGAATTTACTGTGAATCCCTGATTGTATATCAGGTTATTTGTTTTTTCAAGTGTGGACACTTGTACACATCTTAACCCCCCCCCCCATAATAGAAGCCTCCGGGGCTTCTAAACTGTCCGAGTGTTAAAAATTTT